GATTAACCAATATATTTGAGCCCATTTGCTTCATCTGTGATAAACCGCCAAAAAATGTAGTCCATGTTGCGTCTATTGAAGTGTTGCCTTATCCTTCGGGATAACCTGGATACTCCATTTTCTAAATACTGGTTGTAGTTTCTGACTCAATTCCTAAGACTCCAGACACCACCACCTTTGATCTTCGTTTTTGTGCCTGATTTTATTTCCATGGCGTTCACCACCTACCCCTTATCACCTTTCTATTTCTTACTATGATTTCTCTTGGGTATCCGTTACTAGGTCAAATAAGAAAACTTGCTCCATTCCTTATCCAAACACTCCACATCCGTTAGGCTTAAGCTTCTGGCGATAAAGGTCATAATTATTCTTATCCTTAGTCTGTGGTTGCGATGAAATTAAAAACTAAGGTTAATCGCCAAGTGAGTGACCGCGACCTACAGGAAGGCTGACAAATCATCCTCCCACTACATTTAAAAGCGATGCAACCATTAAGTTGACTCCTAAAATTCTGGAATACTTCTAAATTTACTCTACCATGCGGCTAAATTGGAAAGTTGTCATTCAGGTATCGCATAAACAGTCCTGGTTATAGCGATGCCTCACGAGTTCCTTCCCTAATTCGTCCATCAATGCATTGGACAAAAGCGATGAGAATGGAGATCCAATGGGTAATCGAAATATGTGCTCACAGACATTGCCGCAGAATGTGGGGTCCTTACAGTCAGATTAATCAGTCATGCTAGACTCTTCCTATCCACTCTGATTCTAGATCCTATTTTCGGCCCTAAATCTCTAGCAAGACTGAGCTAGTCAGATACATGTATTGTGCCTCAAAACTAACCGGCAGTTCGTTCCCTGCCAGTCCAATGTTTTGGATCCTTTGAGGAAATTGATATAAATTTTTCAAGGTGCTTTTAAATGCCATTGGCCCTGAATTTCAAGCATATACATTCTACTATGCTTCCCGTTGACTAGAAATCCTCCTTTTTTGTATCTTGGGTGGACCATAAGCTGTTAGTGGTTTTGCCCATTTTTATTAAAGAATTCATTTTGACCAACCAGTTCCTTGGTTCCTATCTATTCCGTTGGTCCTCATTATTGCATCCCTTACTAATATTTTCCGAGTATATCTTCCACCTAGTACGTGTTCCGTTTAATTTGCTTACTATAACTTAAAGCCATCCTCAACTAGTTCCATCAGTACCGATAGACTGATTTGCCATATACTTATTCCTTGTTCGCAACTCCAGATAAATGGGCTTGGATGTCCGCTTTACTGAAATGCGATGGAAGGAACCTGGACTATTCAAAGCTTACTACTAGAGAATCATAGTTATTATGACCAGGTCTTGCTGGGTATGGCCTAAGCTTTCAACCTTCTGGACAAAATACCAGTCAATTTTATTGTTTCGCCAAGCAATGACTAAGCAAAGGACCCCAATCTCATCCGTAGATGTAAGAAACTCGAATAATTTGTCGATTGATGATAGTCATAAGTCTAATAAATAAAATGCATATTCCTTCAATAAGGCTATTGCCATTTTAATACTACCCTATCCACTCAAATCCAAACTCTAACACGGGTCATATTTCTTTCTTCGACTTGCATCGCGGCGACTTTTGAACAGATCGACACAAGCCCGGAGTGGATAAGCATTCCTCAACTCTTATACTCTGCACTGCAGCAGGCCTTTGCTAGTCAAGTAACCGGGAGGGCACGCAAAGAGCAACTTGGATGCCCCCCCAGCTTTCTTCCGCCCAGGCTAATTACACAGCCAGAATTTGGTCAAGCCCGGCATATCAACGCTTTCGGGCCATTTCCTCCTACCCCGCTGGTGACTCGTACTATCAACCGATTTAATTTGTATCACCAACACAAAGAGCAACTCTCACCACACATAGAGTGTCGTGCTCTAGCTATGCAGGAACTAGAATCAGCAGCAGAACTGTTCGATCATCTGATAGACACCTGCCAATTGGAGCTAGTTAGCTTCGAAGCTTCAGACGAAGTGGACCCCAGCCTCTTACTGCTCGCAATGACGCCTGTGGACGCGATTGTTCGCTTCAGGAGGCAGGCGCGCAAATTCGCTGTTGTTAATGTTATCTCTTACACCATGCAGCAAGAAATTGCCTACACCCGACATAAACCTTATATGAAGCGACTCCTGGAGGATTGTGAGCATAACAACCCAAAGAAGAGGCCTCAAAATCCTTACATCGACCCAAAGTACACTTATGCCCGCTTGCCGCCAGTCTACGATTTGCATAAGTAGCCGTTGGGCGCAATCGAGTAGAATAAAATAGCAGACCCCTATAATTACATAAAAATACATGCATGGAAGACAGACACAGACGAAACCAAATTATCGGTCGGGAAGACGTGGCCATATGTGTATGGAATGACTAAAAATAAGTGTCAAGCAAAAAGGCGAACTGAAGCCATTTATAATAATTTGTTTTGATGCTGATATGGAGATCAGAGGACGAAATTATTTAACTTATTTAGAGCTCAGAAAAAAACGAAACAGGGATCGCTGGACATCGGAAAGATTCAAACCAATTGCCCGAGAAAATAAATAAGATGGATTTTATTTTTATCCTAGTACTTGCAAGAGGATGGAACAGAAATTCTCATAGTAAAAATTCGAATCTCGTGTTTAATAAAGCAAACCCGGAGCCTAAAAAATGATCATGAGCCATCGTAAGGCTCAGGCCATTTTAGGTTCACTCTCAAGTTTTCATACTCTGCATAAAATGAGGCTGCTTATGATTGAGGAAAGAAGCTTAGCATTGAGATTTTCTGAATAGTTTAGGATGCCCCAGAGACTAAATCACATATCAATATTCCTTTTAGATTTATGAAATCATCATTTAAACTTTGTGGACCGATTACTGCGTGTATTCGCAAACGAAGCAACGGAAATGTTGCTTGAGATGATCCGTGAGCACGTTAGTTTGGCTGATCTTCGGGTATCCTTTATAAAGAGTGAAATTGCTTACTAAAAACTAGCAAGATCGCATTTGTGGAGACAAAATTGCAGAAAAAGTATCCATTAAAAACAATTAAGTTAATAAGTTACAATGGTACTATAGGCTACTGTCAATACCTATTTAATGTTTAAGAACGAACTAGCACTGCGAGCAGATAAGATTTAGAGACTACGAGCGAACAAAGGCCACACCATCTTGGTCTTCAAATAAACATTAGGATCTAGTGTTCAACCTCCATTAATGAATAAAAGGTTCGCCCAGTAGGACTGTGAAGAACCAGCTAACATGCATCTCAATTTGATCATCCAAAACCTAGAACAGTATAAAAAAATGAATGTAAAATATATATGGTAGTGCAAAACAATTGTAAGATATAATGAACAAATCGAAGGAATCAGAATCTTCTTAAAACCTTAAAAAGGATTAATAGAAGTGGGGTGGCCTCTTTATCTCAACTTGGTCTTGTTGTCAGGGCCACTTAATAGAACGCACCTAATCCGAAGTCGTCTGCCATAGTAATCGTCATAATTCTCAGCATCAGACAGTGAACTTGGTACATTCTGAAACGTTTCCCCGGTACCGTAGTCGGAATCATCAGCTACCAACACGTCAGAAAAAAATGAAGTAAATACCTCGACAAACGTTCTGCCGAAAACGGTTAAATTATAACTCTTCTCTATGTCCTGGCATATCTATCTACTCTTTGCCCTCTTATCCAACTCCCGCCCTGTACCAATTTCTCGCTTGTTTAAATTCCACTCGTCAGAAATGTGTGACCCTTTGTGGCAGATCTAGTGTGGCCTCATCACACCTGTTATTTACCCCGACCCCTTCTCTTTCGATCGGCTAATCCGACTCGGGGCTACAATTCAGAAAATCTCATGGTCACGTAGATCCGTTCCATGCTCTATTTCTCAAGGCCCTAGAAGCACGTACACTTCCGCCTCACCGAGCAGAGCGCCTAGGCTCTGATTCCCGTGCTTGCAGATATTAGGCATTGTCTTCAAGAATCTTCTTGATTAAGCCCATGCTACCTGAGCAAACTGAGAACGCCTATCTCTGGTCGCATGCGACATCTTAAGTGGATTTCTAGTACATTTTGGCCATGACGTGGAATTTTGGTAACGGTTTGCTTATCCGTCTGCCTAGCTCCTTGACTACCAGGCCCCTAAAGTTGTACTAGTTTATTAGAAACGGACACCACTTACTGACGTCTCCGTCCATACCATTCTTTCATAGACCCTATTCTGCCATCAGCCTTTCACGGCCCGTATGTTTCTTTGTATCACTTCGTTAATGTAACCATTGTCGAGGAACATCCCAGTCAATTTTTCCAACTCCTCATTCCAGAATTCGACATCCGTTAGACGTAGGCTTCGGATTACGCTCCTCATTATTCCTATATTTGGCCTCTAATTGTGATGGGACTGGAAAATGAGTATTATTCCAGCATAGGACTTCTTTCTGAACAATTTATTCTTAAGCGTCCCACTATAGCGAATCACTTCAGCATTCAGGAAAGGTAACCTCTCACCTTCCTCTACTTCCATCGTGAATATAATTATTTCATCCATTTGGAATGTACCAAGTCCACTGTCTAATGCTGGAAATTATAACTACTATGGCAGATGACTTCGGACTAGGTGCGTTCTACTAAGTCTCCCTGACAACAAGACCAAGTTGCGACAACGAGGTCAACCGACTTCTATAAATCGAATGGAGAATCCGACCATGCCGATGGCCACACCATCATGGTCCTCACATCTTCTTTTAAAAAGGATTATATCGAGGAAAATTGAACATGGCAGGGAATGTACGAAACTAATAGGACTACGAAACAAAGTACTCGTGGACTCTTGTAGCATTTTATAAAAAGTTTTTAATGCATAATTTAAATTTATCCTCAAAGTAAAATGGAAAA